TTGTGAACTTCGGAAGATCAAAATCATGGCACTGATGTGGTCTAAGAGCAGGTCGCTCATCCTTAAAATAATGACCATCTCAGGTCGCATGCATAAAAGTGTCACCTCGACCTCTTTTCAATCAAGTCGAGTTGACCAGAATCTCTTCGAAAGCATCAAGTCACGACATAATATATAGTTTCCAAGGTTCAATTCTCAAACCTTAAAAACCAGGGGACTTCTGTTATGCTTGTAAAAGTAGGGTGATGCAGAGCTTAGTCAGCATAAGTGGTCAGAGCTTAGGTAAGCTGTTAGAGTAGATGCCCTAGAGCCAATCAATTATTGTAGAATTGACTCTTTGTAATAATGTTCATTAATCAATAATAAAAGGCATTTTATTCTATATCGTGTAAATCATTATTATTGCAATATGTATTATTATATGTCCTTAGAATGGTAGAACCATGACGAGGGTATCAAGTGTTTCAAATCTTGATAGTGAGAACCCTATGAGCACATATGGTGGCCATTTTAGAAACGTTTGTAGCCCCAGTATTTTTCTGAAGTAAGGGCACAGATAATATGGTAAGGCTATCATAGTGTTGAACGACCCTGTTGAAAGGCAGTGACTGATCTCACTTGTCAAGGTTGTTTGGTGACAACCTGGTGCAACACATGGGCGCTTGTTGTAGGCGATTACACCCCATAAGTTCACTGGATTGACCTACTAGAGGATTCCATATGGATGGTAACCCCAGTGTCTATGGAACAAATCCTCTAACGAATGGTAGTGCATGTGATCCTTAGACTTGAGATCATCGGAGCGCCTTGTGCACCGAATGGTTTAGTTTGACACTAGCTAACGCAGTTCTTTTCAGAGCTGTCAATACAGTGGTGATTGGCTGCATCAAAGAGTGTATCAAGACTATGGTGGATTGATAGAGGATTCATCACTCTCGGGTACGGGAGAAGTTATCTCACNATGCTACTATTTGTCATAAAATATTTCAGGAATAATTTTTTACAAACCAACCAAACATCGTCTTCTGCTCAATTTAAAAAATATTACCCTAGTTATCCAATATTAACCCCATCCAAATAGCCCCTTAAAGTTATATTTGTATCCATCCCATAATCTATTCATTAGACTGTTATAGTTATAGTGTATATATATGGTTGGGTTCCCTCTTCTCATGAGTTAGCTTTTGAGAGTGAGATCTACCGAGGCCCAAAACCCTGCGACATGCATGAAGGGTGTTAAATTTACATCACCAATCTAGTGAATCGACTGGTTTGTTGCCCATACACCCATACAAAAAATGATATAAACCAAGAACCCCCTACGTGATTCTATGTCAAAATGTGTACTCATCCAATCCAGTATCTTTTGCAAGGGTGCAGGTAGGTGGGCATAACAAGATAATTAAAATGATGATAGAGGATTTCCTCGTTCCCTTGAATCACTCCCTCCCTCTAAATCCAAGGCTTGTGGTTGACACTGACTTATAATGGGTACTACTTATAAGTGTATCATAACTTTAATTAGTTCAATGTTAAATAATGCAGCAAGACAATATTGCAGTTCCCTGTCAACTTTTTAACACGTTAATTTGTTAAGCGTATCAGAACTTTAATTAGTTCAATGCTTAATGACATAATTGCGGGTTGATCAATTAAGCAAAAAGGAAGCAAATTAAATTTAGATTTTTTCTAGACTGATTTGATGAAAATTGTATTTAAGTGCATGAATATGTTTCACATGTTATCGGAGCTTTTAGGTGAGATGACAACTTAACAACAACTAAGCACTTCAATGGGTTGTTATGATTAAGCTCTAACTTATTTATAACTTGTCATAGAGTAATGCAAATTGTAGCAACGAAGAATTTTGGTGGAGTGTTGGTGAGTTAAAGGAAGAATAANTTGAGTGTCAATCTTATTGTTACGCTAACTCACTGGTTAAAAATTAACTAGAAAAAGGAGAAAAGTTGTAAAAAAAGTGCAAAGAGAAAAGGAATGTACTGAAAATTCGGCAAACAAAGCTGAGAAATGTTTTTGCATGTTCTTCTGGTGTATTCGTGTGGGTTACAAAACTAAACATTAATTTCAGCCAACAAAAGTTAAAGCGCTTTTAAAAAGTACTTATTTATTAAATGTTTTTTAAGGTTCTAATAGCTATAATTTACCAGCTCATTTAAGGCAGGATAATATTAGAAGACCTCATGGATCATCACCCAACATAACCTAAACCCTGACCAAATATCAAGTATAAATATATTTTAATATTATATGCACAAACCTAAGAGTTTGCAGGCACCATCGTAAAATGTAGAAAAACTTCTTCCTATAAATTTGTTTCATTTCTACAATACCAAACTTAATAGCATAATCGAATATTCCAAACCCTATCGTATTTTTAAGAGGATTTTTTTATTTTAGTACAATTTGGCTTATGCTCAATAACATTACAATTTACAACCTGTTAGGAGACATTTGGATCATATAATATTTTATTATAGAAGATATTATATTAACGGAATAAAAAATCATCTTGAAAATTACTGGAAATGTTTAAAAAATGTGTTTGGTTGGTTCGAATAAATTGGTGAATAATATGTTTAGTTGAGAGGATAAATTGGTATGTATATTATATAAATTACTAAATTGTCCTCCTTTTTAAATATTAATATAATAATTTTTTATTATTATTTTTTGAATCATTTCTGTGAACCCCTTACTTTCTCCAATTTAACAAAAACACCCTAGCAACCAAAAACGTTTTAAACTTAACAAAAGCACCCCTACCCACCCCAAGCCACTGCGGGTAGCCAGCCACCACTATCGGCGGCCACCAACAGTACCACAGATCTGGCCATGACACTGACAGTGCCATAGATCTGGCTGTGACACCGGCAATGCCATAAATCTAGCCATGGCCATGAAATGGCCATGAAATGGCCAAGTCTTTGGCCGTGAAACGTAGGCTGTTTCACGGCCATAGATCTGGTTGTTTTCGACCATAGATCCATAGATCTATGATCCATGGTCAAAAAAGGCATCACTGGCACACGGCTGGCCATATACGACTAGTCGTATGACATTATGACGACTTTTGGCAGCCTCCGATGACGGTCCATGGTGGCTAGCGGTGATGGCTAGCTCTTGGTACAATGTCATTTCTGTAAATAATAATAATAACAAGGACAATGTCGTCCAGGAAATTTAAAAAGTGAGGACAAAAGAGTCTGTATGAGTAAATTGAGTGTTTTGTAGATCTTAACAAATATAAGGTTAATTTGGACTAAATGCTCAACTGTTTAGGAGCAATATGAAAAATAAAATTATATTACCTTGGGTAAGTTTTAATAACAGCACCCTCCCTCCCCTAGGGTATTAAGATTCCGGGCAATTTATCACCCAAATGCTACTATTTGTCATAAAATATTTCAGGAATAATTTTTTACAAACCAACCAAACATCGTCTTCTGCTCAATTTAAAAAATATTACCCTAGTTATCCAATATTAACCCCATCCAAATAGCCCTTTAAAGTTATATTTGTATCCATCCCATAATCTATTCATTAGACTGTTATAGTTATAGTGTATATATATGGTTGGGTTCCCTCTTCTCATGAGTTAGCTTTTGAGAGTGAGATCTACCTAGGCCCAAAACCCTGCGACATGCATGAAGGTTGTTAAATTTACATCACCAATCTAGTGAATCGACTGGTTTGTTGCCTATACACCCATACAAAAAATGATATAAACCAGGAACCCCCTACGTGATTCTATGTCAAAATGTGTACTCATCCAATCCAGTATCTTTTGCAAGGGTGCGGGTAGGCAGGCATAACAAGATAATTAAAATGATGATAGAGGATTTCCTCGTTCCCTTGAATCACTCCCTCCCTCTAAATCCAAGGCCTGTGGTTGACACTGACTTATAATGGGTACTACTTATAAGCGTATCATAACTTTAATTAGTTCAATGTTAAATAATGCAGCAAGACAATATTGCAGTTCCCTGTCAACTTTTTAACACGTGAATTTGTTAAGCGTATCAGAACTTTAATTAGTTCAATGCTTAGTGACATAATTGCGGGTTGATCAATTAAGCAAAAAGGAAGCAAATTAAATTTAGATTTTTTCCAGACTGATTTGATGAAAATTGTATTTAAGTGCATGAATATGTTTCACATGTTATCGGAGCTTTTAGGTGAAATGACAACTTAACAACAACTAAGCACTTCAATGGGTTGTTATGATTAAGCTCTAACTTATTTAGAACTTGTCATAGAGTAATGCAAATTGTAGCAACGAAGAATTTTGGTGGAAGAATTGCTCATATTAGTATTCATTCTACTGCAAAAAGAAGTAAAGTAGGCCTAGGACTAGTCCTAGGATAACAAAAGCATCAAAGTTGATGTCTCAAACCATTTTTCCTTGTATCTAAGCAAAAGGGGATGTTTGAAGACTTGTGAGATTTTATATGTTTTGAGATTAAAATTAATAACAATATGATGGAGGCAAATTGAAATTGTTTGTAATTGTAAGTACTTTGATTGTCCGAAATCATTGTGATTTGCCTTTTTTTTTTTTTTTTTTTTTTTTAATCATAGTTTTTATTTTTTTATTTTTTATTTTTATTTTTTATCATAGGAGGTGTTCGGACCAACTTACACTCACCTAAACTAATCCTCTAGGATCTTGAACCTGTCGGCCGAGTAAGGACCATAGTGGTCATCCTTGTTAGTGTTTAGAGGGACTTAAACTCAGGAACTCATGTAACCTTCTTTTACTCTTTTACCATCAAGTCACGCTGTAGTGGTTAATCATTGTGATTCCTTCTTCACTGCTCTCTAGCAACTATATATTAATTTTAGTTTTTTTAATATCCTCGTAAACTTTGAGAAGGCGATAACTTGCAGTATATGACATAGTCATAAAACAATAAGAATAACCGTAACAGAAACGGAGTCTAATATTTAATTCAACAACTACATGCATTTCTTTAATCAGACAGAAGCGAAATCTTAGAGTCATTGCTCAAAATTGAAGCAACATCAAACATAAACTTATAATAGTTGGACACATCAAAGTACAGGATAAGTGTCAAATATTTCATATTCTCATCCGAAAATTAAGTTATATATCAAAACATCTGACAAATCTATTGTTCTTTAGGGATGATATCAGGCTTCTCTTTGCTGCTGGTGGTGGATTATCAATGAGCACATGCTTCAAGTCATAGGCCGTAAGAACAAAGGCTTCCACTTGCTTAACCACTAGAACATTTCTTGTTGAGATTGGGAAGTTGGATGAAGGGTCCTTAACCCAATCCACAAGTTCTTTCCCGAAGTATCCACCCTCTTTCACATAATCAGTTTTGTTATTATTGCTATTATCCATGCCCCTGGACGAAGTGTATGTCCATATTTCACCTCGCAACACGAAGAGAATTTCACTAATCGGTTCTCCCTCCCGGACAATGAGAGTTCGGTCACCATAGAAAGCTGGCTTGATACGAGAAAACAGCGCCTTCAAAGATGGTTCTTCCCATTTTCCCAACTCTTCTAGCTTGATATGCATTTAAGAACAAGAATGAGAATACATCCAACGTCCAACCAATGCTTGTGGATTCAAATCAAAAGCTAAATTATTTTGCCTTAAACTCAATAGAGTTGTATCTGTAAGATTATCTAAATGTTTGTGTTTTATGAGAATAATGGAGTAAATATCTGCAGTAGAAGGAGGCTACAAAGAAAGTTACTCACTTTCTTTAACCATTTTAAGCGTTCTTCCCTCTTCATGTTGTTGATATCCTCTGGTTTTTCGCTTTCGGATTGTAGATATGTCTGTTTAATAGGAAGCATGATTCGTATATAGAAATTAAATTTAATGTGCTTAATCTTAAGCATATTGAGACAAATAGAACATTTACCAACCTGCATATTTCCAATTAAAAACACAAATAGCAACGTGGAATAGATGATTACAGAAATCACGTAGATATTTTCCAAGGGAAAGGTACTTGCTTCAAGATTTTGACCGAAACAACTGCAAAAATAAATAAATAAATAATGTAATCCACGTATCAACTAAGTTGAAAAGATACGCACAAACCTGAGAACTTGCAGACCCCATCGTAAACAGAATAAATATTTCTTCGGAAATGATTTCATTTCCACAATTCTATATTGAAGAGCGTCCTTGAATATTCCAAAATCTGTGTTATTTCCACCAGCTCGTGCCGTTCTAAGACAACTTAGCTTCTCTAAATTCTTATTACCACAAACAAAAGAACTAAATTTCAATGTATTCTTGAAAATATACTCATCTCTCCAACATACTAGAACTCTGTCGATGGCAAAACAGTACCAAATTGCTCCAAATACCTAAATTCAGAACCAGAAAGTCAGAATTTATTCATCAATTACGACAAATAAGGGATGACTGAATTTGAATTAAAACTTACATGACCTCCATGCAAGTAAAGGAAAAGATTGAACACAGCTTTTGCCCATTTGGCTTTGGCAATGAAACCTGTATGCTTGGAGGCATTTCTAATAGTTATCGAGAGTCCAATAACCAGAAGCATGTATCCGAAAAGAAACAAGTTCGTTGTAGTCAAGAATATCCTATCCGTTGTTCCCCTTGTCAAATCTGGAAGTATCGTCTGCACAGATTACAGCACAAAGTATGATCAGAATCTGAAATTATTCATTAATAAACGAAATCGTGAAAGATTTGAGCTTACCAATGTCATCAACAAGACGGGTACTTGAGTAAACATGAAATGTTCTATCCCCTTCTCTTTAGTAATAGTTCCCGCAAAGATTTTTCTGATGACATTGGGAACATATAGAAGCATGTAAGTGTTGAAGAAGGCGACGACGGCAAACGTGGCATACAATTCACTGTCGATTTCAAGGCAATTTTTTTTGGGATTGATCACATAAGAGTAGTAATGCAAAGGATGCATGAAGATGACAATCATATAAGCAGTGAGAAAAGTCCCGTATCCCCAACGAGAATCCAGGTCAAATTTTTTAATTACCACTTTCGAACTCAAGCGTTTCCAAATCCCTTTAGGATCGTGACCTTCAATTGGAATTTCATCTTCCTTCCTACCTTCCTCTACATTCAAGGTCTGAAGCTGACCCGCCGACCTGCACAATACAAAGCAGTAGTTTAAAAACAGCTAAACCGAAGACTTTTCACTGACTTGCTAAAACTTATTGTGTAGAATCACTTACATGATGAAGAAGGCGAAAGTCTTTGGATTTCGATACGCAAATTTGTCCGAAAAATAGTTCTGCAATCAGGTTAGGCGAATGGGATCAGTTAGCTGGATGGCATCAGATGCTAATTAGTTGCTTTAATTTCTCCACCAGTATGTGTTTTTTCAAAAAGATGAAGAAAACTTTTTGCTACTCCAAGTTGGAGCCCGACGACTGGAATCAATTTTAAATTTCATGTCTAGTAAATTAGTTGAATATTCAATCAAGCAAATTTATATTTAAGTGCAGGAATGTCCTTAACAAATCAGCACTTAAGGAAATTAAGATGGAGAATTTTGGTGGTTTGGTGGAACACGTGAATCATGATAAGACTTTTTGGGATCCTCCATATCCAGCAAAGATACTTTATTGTGTTATATTATAAAATATACGGTCGTTAAATGAAAAAAGACAAAGTCATAGGTTTGGAATTTGGATACATGAAATCAACCATGCACACCTTTATACTAAATAAATATAAAGTAACAGAGCTTGAGCAGATTATGATTTTGAACATCTATAAAAAGCTCGAATATATGACTAATAAAACCTAGATAGAGAGTCTCTGAAGATTAAAATATGAAGATAGGTGAGTGGTTGTGTTTTTCAAACAGGACCAATAACACAACCAAATTAAAAGCGGAAGCACTTGTGGGTAGAGATCCTTTTGGCTTTATTTTCATTATAGACGCAACATTCATCATTCTCACTTCAGCAAAAGTTCTAATTGTTTATCGGCACTTGATCACTTAACTAGAACAACAACTCTATCGTCACTAGGACGAGAGTTTTTCATATACAAACTAATTTACATAAACTGTGCTGTTCTACAATGTTTTTTCCTCTTTCTTGGGTTGAACAATTCAATTTTTTTCTTTTTTTACAACAACAAAACTATCCATACATATAGCTAAAGACAATTTACCTATTGTTCTTCAGCTGTAAAATCAGGCTCTGCTGGCTTCTGAAGCCGCATGGGTGGTACCCTCTCTGGCACCCTTGCCTTACGAGTACCATTACGCCGAATTGCACGAAGTGCATTAGCAGCAAATCTTGAGGCATAAATGGTGGCTCCTAAACTTGGTGAATTTCCACCAGCCTTAGACAGTGCATCTTGCAAACGATTCTCTTCTGCACGTAAAGATTCTTCAAGCTTCTTTTTACTATAGCGGCGCCAAGCTGCTTGTATGAAACAAGCTGCCCAACTCCTCCACTGCTGTGAATAAAGCCTAAAAGTATGACGCAACTGCTTACTGTGAAGCCGCCTGAATTGAGAGGCAACAAACTTCAAGTCATCGGCCTTTAAAGCAAAGGCTTCAACTTCCGTAAGAGCTCTAACAGTTCTAGTTGAGATGGGGAGATTGGAAGAGCACTGAGGATCCAGAGCCCATGTCAGAAGTTCTTCACCACAGAAATCACCAGCCCCAAGATATTCAGAGTTAAAGAAACCAGTTCTTCCACCATTGGTAGTTATAGTCAATAGCTTGCCTCGCATGATGAAGAGCATTTCATCAACAGGGTCACCCTCTCGGACAATGTAGCTTTCTTCAGTGTACAGCACTGGCTTGAGACGGTCGCACATTGCATCCAAAAGTTGTTCGTCCATTTTTTCAAACATTGGCACCTTAAACACATCCACAAGACGAATGCAGGTTAAGAAATCACCAGCACTGCTCTAACTCTAGAGAAAGGGTAAACAAAATAAAGAAAACAAACTGTAGTACAAAAGAGGAACTCACTCTCATGAGCAAAGCCAAACAGAGATGACGCTTTATGTCCCTTTTAAGATCCTTGGGAAGATTACAGAGCAGATTCTCTTCATCAACACCTCTGGTTTCTTGCCATTTGTATTGCTCATAACGCCTTATTCGCTCCCTCAGAGTATCAGGGAGCAATCTGTGGGCCATCCACTGTTCCGCATCACGTCTTTTCACTCTCATCTCCTCTAATCTTGTAGTTGTAGACTGCAAGTATGTCTGTTTCGTAGCAATTTCAATTCATCAAAATCTATATTAATAGCCTGTTTTCTGAAACCCAAGTCTCATGCACAACTTTTAAAAACCAACTCAAACATAAAGACATAATGTAAGCTATATTATCACAAGAATGATGTGTTATACTTAACATTTAGGAACCACTATAATGATCCAAATATACCAAACCTCTAAATACAAAATTTATGGGCACCAAACTACCTGCATATTTCCGATGAGAAATGAAAATAGAACCAGGCCCGAAATTGAAATGAAGACTGCAAAGCAGATTTCCCAGACAAAAGTACTTGTTTCAAGGTTTTGACCAAGAGAACTGCAAAAAAGAAGAAAGATATCAGATAGACATAAAAGAAGAAAACCATGATGTATCAGAACACTGTAAGCACATGCATCCATCAAAAGAATAAGAACAGAAATACATCAAGAAGAAAAATATATAGATGCATCAGAAAACAGTAGTTCCACGAGTACCAGGATTCTACAAGCCTAAATCAACAGGATAACAACTATAGAAACCATTCAGTAGATAACTTTCCAAAGCCTTAACCATCAGTTCTTACAAGTAGCAAACAAGCAAATAAAGATTACTGATTTCATCATCATTCAAGATGTCGAATCTGCCTTAGCAAAAATATAAACATGAAAAACAAAGTAAATATATTATACATGCACACCTCAGATTTTGCAGGCCCCACCAGAAACAGTAAAAGAACTTCTTTGGAAAATATGTTGACTCCACAACACCAGATTGAAGAGCGTCAAGGAATATTCCAAAATTAAATTGTGTTGTATTTGGTGTTTGTATAGGACAAGCAGCACTTAGTAATGCACCATTTCCTTCACCATCATCACAAAACAAAAAGCACCTAGTATGACCCACACAAGCTTGTTTCCAGCAAGTTGTTTCTCTTTCTATAGAAAACAAGTACCAAAAGGCTCCAAATATCTGTAAGAAAATCTTAAAAGTTAGTAATCAGAAAGTTCAACCAAATGAGACAATCACAGTTCGTATCACAGCATAATGTAACCAGATGAGTTAGGAGTACGTGAAATAAACGTTCTTGGCTCACATAAAATGGTAAGTTTTTGAGCAGACTCACAAATTGAACTGTGGTGGACTCCTTGTTGGGAAAAACCCAACCAGCCAAAAGTTAAAAAAAAAAAAAAAAAAAAAAAACAATCTTCAAACTTCTAATGACTCAGCATACCACTACTCATAAGTAATTGAAACTTGACAGAAGCCAGCCAACAAAGCTATTTAGGTCTTCTGAACATTACACAGAATGCATCTTCACCTCACAAGTAACCACTACTGTATTTGTCAAAAATTTATTTTAATCCTTCTAAGAGTATGCCCTTTATGTATTTGGCAGCACATTTTACATATATATGTAACTTCATTCAAAACTCAACCTATCTGTGGTAAGCATAAACTTCCACGCATACATGCATGAAAGTGACAGTGCTGTCATTTTTCTATCCTTAACTAGCATTATAAATCGTAATAAGCAATTAACCATTGTTCCCTTCAAGTATCTTCAAGGTTTAAAGACCTTGGCATGTGCAAACAAGGGAATGAACTACCAAATATGATGCAATATTTCTGCTCTTGTTCGTAGCAAAGATGATGCAACATAGCTATAGGTAAATATTTAACATAAAATGACAGCAAATCTGCAAATCAAACTTACATGACTAGCAAGCATGTAAAGAAATAGATTAAATGCAGCTCCAGCCCATGCAGTTTCAGTCAGTATACCAGAAGTCCTTGTAACTTCCTTGTATAACGGATATATTCGAATAAACCTAGGAAAATATTGAAAGAAAACAACAAATTTCAACAAGTTCTTCGTATTCAGAGCTTCCGATCCCCCCAGTCTTGGAATGATAATAAGAATCACCACCTGCACACATAGAACCAAGTAAGAAGTCCACAAACTAATTTCCAAGAAAAATGACATCCACTTGAAAAGGACATAAGCATATAAAAGTAACTAAGACTAAAACTTTGGGAACAAAGAATATTTTCAAATAAATCACCAAGCTTAGATATCGAATTTACAGTTAACATGAAAAATACACTCAATTTGGGAGTTTGAAATCTTGCATGCAACTTCTACGAAGGGGTATGTATAGGTCACTGGTAGGAACCCACTCCCAAATTGATAAGAATTGGACTAGGCAGGGGGTCTTTGATAGGAATTGGACTAGGCAGGGGGTCTTTGATAGGAATTGGACTGGGCAATGGTTCTTTTGTGGGCTTTGATAGAACTACCCTTGGAAAACAGGCTTGCCAAGGAAGAGTGCCCAAGCCCTTATAAACCACATGCCCACACCCTTTTACCTCTCAATGTGGGATCCTAACATTCCCCCACGTTTCGACCCATTTTCCCTCTCAATGGGGGATCCTAACATTCCCCCACGTTTCGACCCATTTTCCCTCTCAATGGGGGATCCTAACATTCCCCCACGCTTTGAGACCCAACACCCTCGTTGGTCTTCTTTCCAAAAAGCACTCACCCTCATCGGCTACCCTGCCCTCGTCAGCCTTACTGCCCTCCCTTTGAATCTTACTTCGCCTAGAAGCTTATGAGACCCTAGAAACCTGTCAGGCCCTAGAACCCTGTCAGCAACTCTCCTTCTCGACCTCTTAAGGGATCCATTTGAGCCCTACTGCGTGGGCTCAGAAGGTGGGGCCTGCTCTAATACCATTTGATAGGAACCCACTCCCAAATTGATAGGAATTGGGTAGGACAGTGGGCCTTGGATAGGAATTGGGCTGGACAGTGATCTTTTTGTAGGCTTGGTAGAACTCTCCTTGGAAAACTAACTTGCCAAGGGAGGGTGCCCAACTTCTCGAGTGTTAGGATCCCACATTGAGAGGGAAAAATGGTGGGCATGTGGTTTATAAAGGCTTGGGCACCCTCCCTTGGCAAGCCGGTTTTCCAAGGAGAGTTCTACCCAAACCTACAAAAAGACCACTGTCCAACCCAATTCCTATCCAAGGCCCACTGCCCCGCCCAATTCTTATCAATTTGGGAGTGTTTATTCTTATCAGTCACACAACGCAAAGCCCAGCAATAGAATCAAAAGTCTCTTACAATAAGAAACTGAAACAAGTAGAAACATAGAAAGCTTAAATGGTCCAGCAAAAAGCAGGGAAAATTTTTCAATATCTTGGATGACACCAAATGTAACAAACAGAACTCCCTTTTGCAGAGTGCTCATAAGTAATTGCATACTATATATCAAGTCATTACTTGTCCCACCACACTAAACTGAGTTGCAATCTAAAAAGAAACTATTAAACAGTACAAATGCCCCAGACAAAACAATTTTCAGGACATAAAGAAACCCCTTTACCTGTGGGAGTGGAAGGACTGCAAGAATGTCAATTAAGAAATATGATGATAGGTACTTCTTTGCTATTAACCAAGTATCTTCAACCAAAATACCCCTTCCAAATACCCGAGAAGGGGGAGCAATAAACCCAGTGCGAAACTGAAAAATTATATGAAGTAAATAAAAGATATCCGTGAATGAACGCAACACACTTGCTGTAGTCTCCATCTTTCTGTCCAAGGTCAGGCACTTCTTATTATCGTTAATCACAGGAACATAAAAGAACAAAGGATCCAATGAGATGGCAACCATACATGACAATACGAATATCTTATTCCACCTCTCAAGGAATGGCCCTTGTGGGTCAAGAACCTTCTTCTCAGATCCCAAGCCTTTATTAACAAAACTATTAAACGAGTAGGATCTCAATGTTTTTCTAAACCCCTTAAACCTCTCAGACCCAGATTCTAACCCTCTTTGGAACTTCTCTGAAAATGAGTTTATTGTAGTTCGGAATTTATCCGATCGCATTCCATAATTCCCAGAATATTGTCCCTCAGGACTTTTATCTGAATCCCAATCATTAAACCTGAAAAACACATAACATAATCAAGTATAAAGTCAATCTAATGCACCCACCTAAAAAAATATATAAAATAGAAGCACAATGAAGTGATAAATCACCAGAAAATCTCAACTTGTTAAAAATTGTGTAATCACAACATTAGTAAACTAACCTCACTAACTTCCCTGACCGGTAACTCATAACTATAGCTTATTCACAATACAATATCCAAACAACAAATCAAGATAAATAAGCCCAGTAGTCCACCTCTTCATGTAAAGCGAAATTCCCAATGTCTCACCTGATTCAAAATTTATAAAAATTAAAAATTAAAAAAAAGAAAGAGTCAAAACTACAAAGCAGAACTCCAAGTACAACAGATGATAGAATCAAAAACGGTTCTCACAAAAATTAAAAAAAATAAAAAGGTAAACTTTAAAGTCAAAAATAAACCGTTTCAGAAACGAATCCAAACACCTGTTTTTCTTCCAAGAACAACAACAATAACAGACAGATTGCTGCAGTACTAAACTGGTAACGTTGCCGAAGCAGAAAGTCAAACTTATATTAGTTACGTTGACTAATCAATCCAGTAGCGTTTGTAATTAGAATTACAAAGCAACCAATTCGATACTCAAATCAAAAGTTTTCCGGCAACAAAGCAAATTTCTGAGCTGAACAAATTAGAAATGAAAAAACACAATAATAACAATAACAATAATAGAGAGAAAAAGGAGAAATACCTCGGTGGTGGGTGAGGAGGTCAGTGAACAAAGCAGCGAAGGATTTGACTGAGTGGCTTTGAGAAATTAAGAGAGGGAAGTTTCGAGGAAGGAAGGAGAGAAGAGGGCGGGGGCCAGAGACTAATGTTTTGAATAATCAAATCATTAACTGTTTCCTTACTTCGGTCAAGAGATAGTCGTATTGGAGGATAGAGTCACAAGGAAGATGACACCCCTGTCAGCCAAAAGTTTCTTGTGAATTACAGGTCCCACTGACAGCTTTTCAACTAAACGTCGCCGTTTTATGTCTCAGAAAAATGTTAGAAGGACCGAATGTAATGCATCTGATAAAAAAATTAAATTTAAATATTTTTTTTATATATATTTATAATTCAATCTTATAAATTTTTGTTCACAATCCTAAATATTTATAATTTAACTTCATAAATTTTCTCTCATAACTCTAATCTAATAATTTATAATTATGAAAGTATTAATTATAAAAAAACAGTTTGTAACATTTACTGATTACTAATATATTGTTTAGAATTTTAGTATTATCAATTTCAAATAAGGAAAACAAGTGTGACGTGGCAAAATTTATTGCTTTAATTGGACGAGTAAGATATTTACCCAACCGGAGAGAGTTTATTCTCGTGATGGCAGCACAGAACGCGGCAAATACTGACCAGGGTACGGCGCCCACAGCGACACAAGTCAAACCGGCTGTCAGAGATTCTCATTTTCCATTTGACTTTTCTTACCTACTTCCCCGCTCCCCTACGGTTATTTTATTTATTTACGAGCAAAATTCCCCAACATCACCTCCTACAAAAACGAGGTAAACCCAAACTATTTTTTATTAGTTATAAAATATACCAAAATTTAAAACTACTTTAATAGCTTAACAGTTAACACTGGAGAGACTCCGTACGTAGTCGTTTTGACAGGGTCATGGATCGGCAACTGCCAACGGCTTGATCATGATCAACGTAGCTTAAGTGGATTAAGAAATGTGCATGTGTTCAAATAGCTGGCTTTCACAACAACTCTTCTGATATTCAAATAAGATATTATATTTTTGTATTTGAATGATTTTGTGACACTACTATGAAGAAAGTCTCGATTTGGTGCAACGACCTCGTTTTAACTGCGGAGAGAGTTTCACAAAGGTCATACGAAGAAAAAGTCTTGATGGTCCCTATACATGACTTGGACACAACTTTATTATGGTTTGAATTGAGTCGGCATCAACTAAAATTATTTATAAATATAGAGAACACGAACTCATGAAGGCCTATTATGGTGTGTTTTGTTAAAGAGAGTCAATTNGGCCACCACCGCCGGAATCTGGCCGGAAAGTTGCGTTACGACACAGACCCGTCGGATCTGTGTCGTAACGCGTCGATCTGGCCTTTTCCGGCCAGACCCGTGGCTGATCTGGCCGGAAAAGGCCAGATCTACTGCCAGATCTGGCCTTCGACGCCGCAGATGGAGTTTTGCGGCGTCGACGGCCAGACTAGCCGTAGATCTGGCCTTTTCCGGCCAGATCAGCCACGGGTCTGGCCGGAAAAGGCCAGATCGACGCGTTACGACACAGATCCGACGGGTCTGTGTCGTAACGCAACTTTCCGGCCAGATTCCGGCGGTGGTGGCCGGAATCTGGCACTTGCGGGTGGGGGGTGTTTTTGTTATTTTATAAAATTTTTATATATTGGGGTATTTAGTGAAATTTGTAAACTTAGGGGGTTTTTTGAAATTTTCAAATTTATAAAAAACTAAAATTCAAACTTTTAAGGGCATTTTAGTCTTTTCACTATTAATAAACAGTAATAAACAGAAATCACTAACAGAACATGACGGAAAGTACCTATTTGTCATTTTAAAACCTTTTGGGTACCAACTTGTCGTTACGATAAATCTTGGGTATGTGTAAGTCGTTCTCCCGTTAAAATATTTTACTATAAAAGTTAGATAAATCTTTGAATATTTTATTAGGAGAAATTTTATTATTGTTTAATTTGGAGGTGTTATTATTTGTGTTGGCTTAATAACTTGTTCATTAGTAAATTTTCTTGATTTTGTTTTATACTCTTTAAAGTATTATAAATTTATTCTATATCATCAAATACAATCATAAACATATTAATTATAAAAAGCATTATAAATAAATACTCATATTTTTGTATATTTATACCCAATATATTATTTATTATAAGTTTAATTAACGTCTTGACCCCAATAAATGAGTTTTTTGCTATACCCTAATATATGGTCCATTTGTTAAGTCAAATATATATACAAACAAATATTTGTTAATTATCTAATTAATGATCATCCTAATTATGATATGGATACAAAAAATCATCAATTAGGCACGATCCATCCATTATTCAAACATTAAAACACATCTCAAAATAAAGAGAAATCTAATGTTTAATTACTTTAGGAAGGGCTTTTTTTATTATTATTTCAATACAAATTTAAAAGCTAACTAACAATTAATTAACTTTTCATTAAGTCAAATGACTAAAAATGTAGTATTTGGAATAAGGACCAAAAATAATACTTGAAACAATTATCCTTAAATATAATAAAATGAGGGTGAGTTTGGGATTGTTATAATTTTTCCCATAATCACTTATTTCTCAAGTAATAATCTAAAATGTGTTTGGTAAACACATTTCCAAAGTGATTATGAAACAATCTACTTTTTCCATAATCTATTTTATTGAATAATTTCAAAAGTATGTATTTCTAACTTTTGAAATTCAAAATCAGTTTTTAGAAAAGTCAATTACCAAAACACCTTAAAAATTAAACATAAATTCTAATTTTATTAAATATATATTCTAATTTTGTATAAATTAATAAAATAATAAAAAACGTTTAAAACACAAAATACATAAATACTAAATAATAATAATAATTTTTGATGTAATAAACTAAGATAACAATGTTTATGTTATTTTTTTGGCAGGCATTGCAACTTTGTTGTTTTTTTTTAATGATCGGGGTGTCCGACTCAATTTGCACGTATCTCAATTAAACCCTAAGCCTATTGAACACCATATAAATTCAATGTTCTAAGGAATTCTCGAGTCAATTGAACATCCTACAAGCTTAGTGTTGTTTTAAGGAATGTGGTAGGTGGTATCAAAATAGTTCGAACCCAAAAAGTCAAAGAATGAAGCAAACTTTCTTGATTGCCAAACTACACATTCAGTCGGCCCAAATCGATTGAAGGGTTCTTATACCTCAAAATCAACAAGTCCTCGACCCAATCCAATAGAGAGTCTGCACCATTCAGCCACTAGGCCACACTAAAATCATAACATAAGCATGCGGTTCAACCCCTAGTGCATCTACGAACAAAGAAGCAATCAACAACTCATTCACCCATAAGGAAGCTTCAAAAACATAATCACAAGTATAATATAGAAGAAGCCTCAAGCGGCTAAGTTCAAAGTACAATGTAAGGCACACACGCCAAGAAAGGGCGTCGCATGCCCCAAAATACATGAGCAAAAACAAAAATAAAGCTAAGTATCATCGGTGGGGGTCGTCTCGTCCATCTCCGACTCAGTCACCCTATCGCCAGCACCAGCACCTGCCCCTACAGCCTGGTCACTCACATCTTCAATAATCGATGGCCCCAGCTAGCTAGCAAAATCAAGCACCTGTTCATCAATCTGCTCCTCCGCATGCCCAGCCTCCTCCTCCTCCATCATCTTCCGCATGAGCTGGATGTCCTCATCCAGGTTCCAATGAGAGGTGTTCCCGGCCTTGTACTCAAGCATGAGCTCTCCTCGAGCCCTAATAATGGCATCATCAGCAATGGTAAGGCACTGCTCCTTGAGGGACTCAACCTCCACAGTCTTCTCGGCCAACTCTCTCTTCAGCCTCTCCAACTCACCCTCGGCTCCCTTTAGGCGCTGTTGGCTCTCCCGCTCAGCTTTCTGTGCTGCTGCTTCCCTCTGTTGTAGGTTGGCGTTAGACTTCGATACATCCTGTATCCTCTTCTCCTGCAACACGATGGACTTCCTCAGGTGCAAACTGCTGGTGAACATCTGCATCACAAAACGACTTGATTAGTGTACATCAACAATAAACACAATGATAAAGTGAAATCCTGGCTTCTACCTGGAAAGCACGGGAAACCCCCCAGTCCACGGCCTCGACCGCATCCATCTAGTTTAAGCGAGTCTCGTCAGCTAGAAACAGGAATGAGTCGGCCAACTGACTCATGGAAGCCGTATATAATAGGTCGATACAGAAGCTGGAATGCTAAAAGTGATCTTCTCAGTCTCCTCATCCAGGACTGTAGTCTTGGATGATCCAGCTCCGGCCATGGGCCGACGAATTGGTGGAGTCGCCGTCACATCCTCCGCTATTCTTTCCTCTCTCGTCGAGGATTCCCTCTTCCGTTTCTCCCAACGCCTCGTAATGGACTCGCTTGCGCTTGGGACAGTTAGCTTTTTCATTAGCTTTTCTGCGATCGCAAACTCTCCAACAGTTAGTGGATTTAGTTTCGACTTACCATACAAGGTATGATTGCGGTAGCGAGTGAGCAGTACACTCCAAGTTTGCTTCACTAAAGGGAAAGGGATACCTCGCTAGATGGCTTCTACCTCAATCGAGAGATGGCTCGTCCTGAGGTTAGCTTCCTCTAACACTACCCGCCAATCCCTCCGCGCCTTATGAATTGCCAGCACCTTCTGGGTTTGCACGTCCAAGTCGTCCCCGCTCTGCCCAGCGCGGTTGTATTCAAGCTCTGCAAAGGAAAAACACAATAAGACTTTAGTAATCAAAATTCGAGGAAAAGACAAAGTTTCTCACCAGTAGCTCACCAAGTGAATGGGATGTCACCATGGCCTCTCTGCCCGAAGACTACATCACCACGCATAAAAAAATATTGGTCCTTCCAGTTCTTATCACTCGACCGGAGATCAGTCACGAGGTGGGCCCACTCGTGTCTAAGGTTCACCAGGTATCGACCTTTGTCCTTGTCGTTCTTCTTTAGGAAATAAGAATAAAGCAGCTCGTGCAGCCCAAACATTACCTGATGTCGCACACAAAGGTCCTCTAGAGCCATAAGCAACCTCCACCCATTCAGCATGAGTTGGGACGGAGCAATCCTAAAATGGTCCAAGACCT